CTCAATACGAAGGAAGAGGATTGTATTCGTGTCAAAAAGTTTTCCTCTCCTTTGGGCTTGCTACCTAAGGCTCGTATTCGAAAATCGGATACTGTATCCATAACTATCACAGGCTTATTCCGGGCACTTGAATGCTATGGAAAATCCTCAGGACAATAGTACCCTTATTCTCAAGGGCAATCCCGATGATCCCTCGCTTATACCACCGAAAAAAAGAATGCGCCTTTCCTTCCTTGAGGGTGAAAATAACGAACATAAAGAGGCCCAATCTCAGGATGCCAGTAAAAGCGTGTCTTCTGACTCAGGCCTTTATTGCTTACATTCTATGGAGTTTATTGACATTCTTAGATGCGACAATTTAGGAAAATCACTTGTGCTTCACACAAGGCTAGCAGACAAGTCAGCCAATGATGCAATAGTTATTTTGCAAAAGTCTGCTTTTCCTAAAACAGTTTCTGAACTTTGTGAATCTGGAATTATACTTGCAAGTTCTTCAAGCACAAAAAAAGGCGACAAGGATCCAGACCATATACCCAATAACCTTTGGAAATGTAAACAGCTGACTGACAACGACGTCTTCCATCGTTTTTCGGTCCAACAAGGCCTTGAAAACGTAAATTCTGTCGATATGACTGTTATTTACCCCGCTCAATCACACCACTTTTCTAGATTTTCATCCTCATATCGCATTATTCATGACGAAACTCCGAAGGAATATCATAGCTTAGTTATACCATTTCTTGGTCAAAGGCCAAAGGATCTTGCATGGGTTGACAACATCCTACTCGGCAAGGCCGAAACGGACCGAATCATATTTTCCGACCAGGATCCAAACATTGGATTTACACTCGTCCTAGATTTTCGCTGGGATGGACGGTTCCTGCAGAGTATGCACATTCTAGGTCTGGTACCTCATCCGGGCCTCACGTGCCTCCGAGATCTCCGTTCGGAACACATTCCACTATTAAAGCGAATGCTGTGTGAAGGTCGTTCCCGCATAATTGACCATTATGCCAAAGTCCGCCCAGTTATGGAGCAAGAAAGTGTTAACGAGGCGAGTCCCAAGCCTGCTGTACCACCTAACCAAGGTTTATCACGCACCGGTGAAAGTGCTTTAAA